GGCTATTTCTTTCGTATGGAGTGCAGCTTTCGCCAGGCTATCTGCAATCTCATTTCCTTCCAGATTCACATGTCCTGGGATCCATTGGATACAGGTGTTACTTGCTGAAGCTTTTTCAATGATGTTCGTCTCTTTCAGTTGTTTCAAGTTGACTTTTTATGAATTCACATCCCGACTTCGAATCGGTGAGAATTACAGCATTTTCAATTTGATTCCTTTCCATGTATTGTAAAGCCACTACAATTGCTTCTAATTCATTTCAGTTTTAAGCTAATCTTGCATTTGCTATTCTCATCGAAAATACCCACGCCGCAGTGTTCGGCGTCCTTCGAAGCGTCCGTATAGATTTTCCGGCAATCCTTATACTGTCCGTGTATTTTCCCCAAGGCTAGTTGCTTTAGTGTTTTTGCGGAAGTATTCCTTTTAGTCCATAGCTTATTGTCCAATTCAGATTCAACTCGTATGCTTGATGAGATTGGTTGAACCAATACTGTACGCGTGACCTCGTTGAATATGTGTTTGTATTCCTCGAAAATTTCTTCTTGGAAAGTTAACTTGTCCGTTGTTGCATCGTTGGGTACATTCAACTTTTGCAGTTGTGTCCATACCGGCGTCAGATGTTGTGCATGTCTTACTATTTCTTTAGCCGTTATCAACTTCCTACGAAATTGTAGCGGAGATTGGCTAGCTATAGCGCATAATGTATTGATTGGTGTTGTTTTTGAACATCCTGTAATCTTTCTCAAACACGTGTTGTTGGTTATCGTGAGTTTTTCCAGGTTACATTTCGATGAATTTGCATACACAGAAGCAGCATATTCTAGGTAACTTCGTACTATTGCATTGTAAAGAAGGCTTACAGTTTGAGGATGACCACCACACTTTGTGCTGCTTATTACCTTCAACATGTTGATTCTGTCAGTTGCGCAGTTCTTAATTCCTCTGATATGGGCTCCATATGATAGCGAACGATCCAGTGTTATTCCTAGATATTTGTAGGTGTTCACTGTTTCCAATTCTGTGTTTCCTATCCGCAACTTTAATGATTTTTTGTTCCGTTGAAATAACATGCATTTAGTTTTGCTTTCGTTTATTTTCAGGTTCAGTTGTTCCGATTTCTCCTTGAATTCATCTACAAATGCCTGCGCCCGATGTTGCACCGTTTCAACGTTTTTGCCTTTTACGATTGCCATGAAGTCATCAGCATATTGAACCAAAATCACTCCCTCTGTTTTTCCATTGTGTAGTTGTGCCGTGTAGATGTTGAACAATATGGGTGATAAGACATCCCCTTGGGGCAGTCCATCCCTTAATTTCCTCTCTACAAGTTGAGCTTCTACCTGTATTTGAATGGTTCTGTCTAGGAGAAAGTTTACTATCCAGCTTGTTAGTTCCAGTGGGGTACCGCATTTGTAAAGAACTTGTTCAAGTATTCCTGTTTTAACGGTATTGTATGCATTAGACATATCTATGAAGATCGCTCCTGCAACGTTATAACGTTAAACCCTCTCTTTTGATCGAGTTTAGACTATTGATGACGTAGTTCAAACATGTAGTAGTGGAGTTGTGCCATCGGAAGCCAAAAGAATTTTCCGGTAGTATTGCATTACTCTGTATGAACTGATTTAGCTCCATTAATACTGCCGCATTGATGATTTTCAACGAGCAGTTTAGCATAGAAATCGGACGTAAGTTGCTGATTATTTCTGGATTTCGTCCCGGTTTTGGAATAGCTATTATTTTAATTCTGTTCATATTTGTATCAGGTCTTCCGCATTTCCACATTCGATTGAGATCCTCGATTACGCTGTCTCGAACCTCGGGTTTTACATTTCTCAGTATTTCGTAACTGAGACCATCTGGACCTGCCGCAGAAGGTTTTTTCTTCTTGTTCAGAATTTCGTTCCATTTTTCGATATTCAATATGTCATAGGTTGCATTAGCGCTGAAGTATTCGTCGTAATTGTCACTAAATGGAAAGTTTGCTGCCTCTTCGTCTTCATGTGCGATCATTACCTGGTTTCGTTTCTTCTTTTTTCCGGTTAACTTATTTATTTTCCTCCACAATTCTTTACTGCACGTACTTGGATCAATTTCTTTGAAGTAGTCTTGAAACTTTTCTCGCATGAATTTGTTTTTGCACCTTGTGAATATTCCTTCACGTCTTTTCATCTCCATTAGATCCTCAAGTGTGCCACTACGGTTGAATTTGGTCCTAGCTTCATTTTTGCTTTTCCATGCATCTTCTATTTCAGCGTTCCACAAAAACTTTGGCTCGTACCGGTTCTTCTGTTTCGCGTTTTTCATAATTCTCCTTATTTCCTGCTGTAATGCTGCTAGTCCTTTCACTTGATTCGCGTCCAGCTTCACCACTTCTTCCATTACTTTCTTCCGGTTGACGAAAAATCTATTTGTCGATGCTTGTTCGTTCGAGATTGTTATAGGGATGATTAGATGCCTACTACCTATTCCGTATTGCAATACTTCCATCTTCGTATCTTGATATAGCCCCGGAGAAACCAGAACCACATCAATTGTAGATGGTTTTTTGTTTAATTCCGCTGGAATAAATGTCGGGTTGCCATTATTCATCAAAATTATGTCCTCGTCATTGATGATGTCGAACAGAACTCCTCCTTTTGCATCCGAGTGATGTTGATCCCACAAATGGTGATGTGAATTCAAATCGCCTCCGATTAATACCTTTCTGAAACCCTCAACGCATTTGAACAGTCTCGTCAAGAAGTTTTTCAATTCGACAGCCGATGTGCTAGGTGCAACGTATATCGAAATTACCGCTAAATCCATTTTGTTTATATATCTGCCTACACATTGTATATTCTCCGTTGGGTCTAATTCAATTTTCCTACTTTTAATTGTTTCATTTACAATAATCATTGCACCTCCATACCCATCTAACTTTGAACAATAGAAATTGCTGTAATACGGAATTTTGTATTTGCTATCTTCGTATTCAACTTTTGTCCAACATTCTGATATCAATCCTATTGTGTATACTTCCTGTATCATTACTCTGGCTAACTCTGATTTATTTTTATCTAAACTTTGTATATTGCATTGTATAATCTTACATGTCATCTTATTTGTTAATTAGTTTTATTGTAATCAATTCTTTGTTTTATGCTACTCTCAACCGACTGGCTTACCTGTGCAAATCTTGCATGGGCTCCGTTGTTCTGATCTTCTTCGTCATCATCCATGACGATTACTTCTTGTGACGTGTTGAACTGCTGTACAGCTTCATGTGACTTCTGTGCCGCTTCACGCATGTGGTTAAGCTTCCACTTGAATTTTTCGAACTCGTCCGTCTTGTAGTGATTGAACAGCGCCACTCCGTTTGTGTTTCGTTCATGATCCGTTTTTCGCTTCTTGTCGTAGAACACTTCTACCTGTTTTCCGATGTTTTCCGTGTTCGTTGCTTCTCCTGACGATCGCTTAGGTGTGTGCACTTTGCGACTTCGTTCAATCTGTCTTGTCTGGTTTTGGTTGCTTGTGTTGAGATACCTTCGCATATGATTTAGTTAGTGTTGGGAAATCCTCAATGTTTTCCAACAGGCTGAATTGGTTTTGAGTGTAAATAGAATATTGTTCTTGTGCTTCCAGTGTCGTAAGGTTTGTTTTCGCCATTATGACTTTCAGGTTATTTTGGCGTTCGCGTTCGGGGCAATTAGCATCGCCTGATTTGTGTCCTACAGTGCAAGCATCTTGCTGGCATGACGCATTTTTAATAACCTTGTTCGTCGTGATTTCTTGCACATGTTTCTCATCTCTGTCTAGATCGACAGTTGTTCGTCCGGTGATTATATCTTAGACAGTTTTGACAGAAAACTGCCTTGCTAACGAATGGCTTAACTTGATTAGTACAACAGAACATGCGAACTTCCAATGGCAACTGGTTGCATCTGAATGTCACAGCAATCCGTGTGGTTGGGATTTTGTTGTCATTCTCATACCTATACCAGTCATTTCTCCAGTCTTTCTACTCACAGCTCTCCGTCAAAAGATTTCGATCCTTTCACAAAAACTTTTCTTCAGTCGGAACCAAAAATTTCCAAACTACCTAATCACAGTTCTGCAATTACAAAATGCCCGCTTAAAACAACACGTGTAAACTCGCCGATTGCTGAAACGTGAATGCAGTGCGAACCTCAAACTAAAGGTAGGTTTTAAAAACAAACGATCAAACTGACGTTTGTCATAAAACAAGCAGCCCCAATCTTGATACCCGATCCAGATTCGCTATGTGTTATTCGAAGATTTTGACAATCTCTTATAATCATAATCATTCCGCATGGTATTGCATACATTCCGGGGTTTATGCACTTCTTACTAGAAATACTCAGAGGGAGAGATGGGCGGAGAGAATGCTTTGAGCCAAATGAACTGTCAAAATCTGAGCCAATCGCACATTCCCATTGGAATTTTTCCGAGGATTTCTTATTCTTACTACATTAAATTTGAGAGTATTGCAATCGGACAGAAATTCAATCACCTTTATGTTTCGTGTGCTTCTCAAATTCAACTAGGTTTTGAAATCAAAAACAATATTCTAACTATATTGATTAATTGACCTTAGTTGGTTAATTAATGGCACCAAGAAATGTGCAAAATATTGTGATGAACTCAATTATTATTTTGCACGTAAATCGTATTAAAAGTAAGTCATGTGAAATGCTAGTTTCTAGCAAAGGTTTCGAGATAATTTATGTAAAAATTCCTGCTGCCGAATTGAATTTTGTTTTCTCCGCCCATCTCTCCCTCTGAGTATTTCTAGTGCCAATCACCGACGGACATCGATTGCCATCAACACACATGGACCGAGGACCAACGGCTTTACTTCCCTTCCGAAGGAGGACGTGACCAGAGATTTTTATTGAACCCAGACCCATTGGGGCGAGAAAGCAGTCACGCTAACCACTACAGCACCGGCGCACTTGTATTCAATGATTCTATTAGTTTCTGTATCGCTCGGAACTTACTTGACACAGTTGACGCTATCGATGTGAGCATTCTTGATGGTGCACATTTGCTTCTCGGTGATCGGATCGAACAGTACGATCGTTTTCTTCTCGCATGCTGCCACCAGGATTGTTCTGCGGGAAGAGACAAGCAACACAAAAATCGTAAATAACATGCAAATTCGATTAAATAACAAGCTTCGTTTTTTTTTCTATTGTATGATTAAAGGGTGTCCACGATGAAATTGCCACACTATGAAATTGCTCTAACTTTTTAACCGTTGGGTAGAATTTAATGAAAATTTGGGTGGATTTAGTTCATAGTGCATTATTTACATCCTGCAAGTTTTAAAGTCCTGTGATCAAAACTCGCGGAAATGGAGTCGAAAGAACAGCTCGTGCGTGATAAAATCTTGCGCATTCATCACGAGAACAAGGATCTCTCGCATCTTTCCATCGCTAAAACGTTGGGAATCGCGAATTCCACGGTGATTAAGCGGTTCGAGGAACGGTTGACCACCGATCGGAAGCCCAGAAGTGAAGGAAAAAGTATTCCGTACAACACCAAAAATCACAACCGCGTAGTTGGGGCCTTCAACCGAAATCCGAACGCCTCCGTTAGGGATGTGGCTAAGAAGCTGCACCTAAACCGAAGTTTTGTCCAGAAGGCCAAAACTAAGGCTGGGCTTCGAACGTTCAAGGTACAAAAGGCCCCTAATCGCGACGAGAAGCAGAACAAGTCCGCCAAAACCCGTGCCAGACAGTTGTACCTCAACATGCTGACGAGAGTTGAATGCTGCATCATGGACGACGAAACATATGTGAAGGCCGACTTCAAACAGATCCCCGGCAACCTGTTTTTCACGGCCAAGGATAAGTTCAGCGTTCCGGAGCATGTCCGCACTCAGAAGATGTCCAAATTTGCGAAGAAATTCCTGGTTTGGCAAGCCATCTGCACGTGCGGGAAGCGGAGTGCACCTTTCGTGACCCAGGATACGATGAACGGACAGGTGTACATAAAAGAGTGCCTCCAGAAGCGGCTGCTTCCTCTCCTGAAGGCCCACAACGTCCCAACAATCTTCTGACCGGATTTGGCCTCGTGCCACTACTCCAAGGACGTGCTGAAGTGGTATGCGGACAATAAGGTCAATTTCGTGCCGAAAATGTTCAACCCTCCCAACACTCCGGAGCTCCGCCCCATCGAGAAGTACTGGGCGATTATGAAGCAGCACCTTCTTAAACGACCTAAGGTAGTGAAGACAGTCGAGGAACTGAAGAAAGTATGGGTTTACATGCAAAAAACGGTTGATTCACAGGTTGTGCAGAATCTTATGGCCAGGGTTAAGGCCAAGGTGCGGGCATTTGCGTATGGACTGTAAATAAAATACGAGTAAAATGGTAAAATGAAGTTTAATAGTTATTTCTCAATCCCTGAAAATTTGATGGCAATCGGATGAAAACTCGAATTTTGCGAATCAATTTTGTGTGTGGCAATTTCATCGTGGACACCCTTTACATTGCCAAACCGTTTGGATTGGTTAAAGTTAATCTACCTAACCCGATCAAGGAAGCATAATAATGGAACAGACAACAAACGGCAAATTGAAAGGAATCGCGAATAATCGATTGTACGTGTAGGTGTCACCGGGGTGAGACGTATTACACAAAAGCCATCAATCAACTTAAATAGGTACGGGCCAACACCACGCCAGCTTCCTTGCAAGTTGACGGTGCCGCAAGAAGATGAATTGCCGGACGCGACCAAATTGATGTAGATCGTTAAAGCTACCGTTAGTCCAGCTGTGCTACGCGGAAGCCTTTCGTGATCAATGTAAACATAGATGAATTTTAATGTTGCTGTCAAAATCGTTTGACAAATGGGCTTTCCTAGATTGTATTGGAAAAACGAGCTGATGGATCGCAATTTATTGCTAATAAATGCTGAATACTACCTGTTAAGTGAATTAATCTTCGGACTTGTGTCGTATTTGACCGACACTTGCAGAGATATATATATAGTATGTAGGTGCTTCCATTCATATAGTTTATGGGATACTATTAATTTTCAGCCATTTGTGGCTAATGGAAGAAATAAAATTCAACAGTTTGCATAGTAATGAAACACCAGGTTCAGGTGAATGGGTGAGGGCGGAAATTGGTGCGGTATATGTTCACATCGATGTTGCTTAGAGTATCCCTCCTCCCCTGTTTGCGGGTGGTTTGACGTGACTATGCAATATCATTTCAAGTGGAACTCCTTATGGCACCCTTCGTCGAATTTATAATCTATAATCATAATGCAGTGCGTTGAAAGGGCTCGTAAATTAACTCGATACGGTTGAGAATTGAGCTGAGGTATGTAGTCAATTACACGGTGATGGCTTCCATGTGATTTTTTAGAATAGTTGTTTACAACTTGATCATCTTTTTAATGTGTATATTTTATGAACACCGTTTGAGAATATACTGTGAATTTCTGTTAAATACTATGCCCAAGAAGGAAGCATATCGTGCTTTCAGTGTCATTCGTTGTTACTGCCACAGACAAACAAACATAACTCTGCGGACAACTTACTCTTCAGAATCATTGTCACAGGATTCAGTGACGACACCCTGCGATTAAATATAAGCTTAAATTGAAAGTGACACGTACAGTTTTTGAGGAAAACGGATTAAAAATAACGAAAATACGCGATTGAAAAAAAAACAGATGTCAAACTGATTAATGAACAGGGACATAACTGACATAACAGACATAACTTGATTGCAATCTCAAAATATGTATGTAAATGTAGGCATCAATGCTTCATGGATGATTCCAATTATTGTTGCTGATTTGTATTGATTTTATGTACTATTGAAACAAAGAGAATCAACCGAGGATCACAGTAGGCCGCGCTTGAAAGCTGACGTGTTTTTGTTGCGTGTTTTTTCGTCAGCATATTTAACATTGTTTGTTTTAAATTAATTAAATTGCGTGCTGAAATTTTATTTCAAGTGTTCATAAAGCTATCAGTTAGTGATACATCGTGTTTCGACTGTGTTGAGGCATCCAGTTTGTTAATCCAGTAGTAGAGATTCTGAATGCAAGATAAGATTATCAAGGACCTTAGTATACAAACCGACAGGATCAGGTGACAGAAGAGAGCGTGACAACAAACTAGAAGCAACAAGTTTTGCGAAATGTGCAGCCACTTGAGATCGTCGATTGGAGCAAGACGCACGACGCATCACAACATTGAGGTAAAATGCACCGCATGATAGAGACAAACCATAACCCCTGCAAAGGCATGAGGTACATATTTCAAATTATTATTCCTTTATGTTACATCAGAAGTAAGGTCTCAATAGAGTGTTAAACTGTGATTCATCAAGTAAAAAACCTAAAAAATATACGAAAAATGAATTCGTTCCATTCTTTTGCGATATATGCTGTTAAAAGCTTAATTTGTAGTCGATGATTTTAACAACTGTGTCCTGTTTTGCATTTTTTTAAAGGAATCAGTAGGTCAACATATAATTTTATGATCAGGAATTATTTGTGAAACCTCCACTTGAAAACAAACACAATCCGTTACCCGGAAAATGCATTTGAGGAAAAGTTATTGTTGTTTTCTACACGCAAACCAAAAATCTATTACAATGAATGTTAGTTCCGTTTCCTATCATCCTCTGTTCATGAACATCGCAACGAATGTTATAAATTGACCATGCAGGCGATGTAATGGTTTTTTGCCTTTTTTGTTTCGTGTTCTATCTACGCTTTCGACTATATCAGTATAACATTGTCAGGGTTGTTACGAGAAATTTGAAATTAAATCCGCGCGGGCTTTAAATGAAAATCGTAAAATTGCGTAAGTCGACCGAAATTTGACTTGCGCTCAGGTTCAGACGAAAACAAGAAATAACCTAAGATATAGGATTGAAGGAGAATTTTTGTCAATGATATTTTTTTTTATAATTCGTTTTTTTTCAGGCTCATTTTCTGTAGCTTTGCGGAGCCGATATTCATTGTTTAGATAACAAAAATACTTAAAACTAACGTTAGTAAAGCGGGGGCCGAATACTCGCGGCTATCTCGAGGTTAGGGGTAACAAATTGTAACAAATGGATGGCAGGGTAGGGATTGAGAACACAAGGTTTGGAGAGCAATGTGCTCTTGATCTCGAACTTAGCGACATAGTGATGAAAAAGGTACACCGATGGGCAGCTAACAACTTGGGAGAACACAAGATGACACTAACTACTAAATCCTCAGATCTATCCGTTTTAAAAACACATAAATTAAATTCAAATAGTCGAGATCTCGGCGCGCCAAGACATCTCTAACGGGTATCGCGGGTTGTTTTCCCGGGCCCTGAGGGATGTGGATAACTCAGATCTGGCAACACGGTGTAGGGTACATGACCAAATAACATGCTCGATATCGGGATAACCACTGCCACACGCACATAAATTGCTGCCTGAGAGCCCAATTCGATAGAAGTGCGAGTCTAACGAGCAGTGATTGGACATAAGCCTTGATATAACGCGTATAAAGTCGCGGCTCATGTCCAACCCTTTGAACCATGGTTTGTTCGACACCTGTGGGAGAATAGAATGTAACCATCTTCCGAATTCACCATCATTCCATTTTTGTTGCCAACTTATGAGGACTTGCTGACGAGGATTTGTCAATGATATAACAAGCACTTATTTTATTGAATGCATGCATCAAACCACTAATAATCTTCATTAGCATTCATTTTAGCCAATTTTTCCTTTTCTGATTTTTCCTCCTGCTCAATGTTATCTTTTGCTTCAAAAGAACTTTTAGGAATGATGTTTCTGGATTATTGGATGTCATTGTTCTTTTTCCATCAAATTAAAAATATCTTCTTTTGCCTTTCTCTTCTTTCTAATCTCTTCTTCTTGTCTTTTAATGTGGTGTCTGACTAACTTCCTTTCTTTTTCCTTCTTTTTCTGAGCTTCCATTAATTAATTCACCTTCTTTCTTTTGTTCCTGCTTAGTTTCGTAAGATTTCCTCGCGAACTTGACATTCAAAATTAAGTCCTTCGAAACAACAAATTTGGTTACATCATTGTCAAAAAAATGCATGCCACTACCGTAAAATGTTTTTACGGTTAATGAAATG